GTGACATGTGGACCCAGTCAGTGGCTCAATTCACAGCATCCTCAGCCATGCTTGGCTTACTGTAATGATTTTTTTTTCTTTTTAATAATCCACAACTGGCTGGGTTCACTCAAACTCCAGTGAACCCGTAGATCAGTGTTTCTCAACCTTGGCAACTTTACAGGTAGGTGGACGTGAACTCCCAGAATTCCCCAGCCAGCCTTGAGTTGAAATTCACACATTGTAAAGTTGCCAAGGCTGAGAAACATTGACCTAGGTGACAGCACAGAATGTTCTTTTCTGCCCTCTAGTGGTCAGCCCGTAATTTTGCAGCCCTTTTATGGCAGCCTTAGGTCCATGGTGTGCATTAAAGCCACACCAAACAAAGCACTCTATGACTTAAGGTGGTGTGTGAATGCAATCTATGTGGCCCATTCGACACATCCTGGCTAAAATAAACCATGATCTAGCACAAGGAGGGAACCCAGACCACCGTTTGCAATGCATGAGCAAATCTCAATCAATCTACTAGCATGCCCCATTGCAACTACTGCCCCATGGATCTATAGTTGCCAGCCCATCCTTTTTCCTCAGTCTACTGCTAAAAAGCAACATTCTTTCTCTTCTGCTACTAAGGCTACGCATCCGTGCTGTTTCTCAGTGAGCTGGGCCCCATAACAAGCATTTGGGTAGGAAGATAAATTAAAGCTGGGTGCCACTGACAACAAAGCTCATTGAAAGGGAAAAACATTTCTGAGCTATCAAAAGATGCTATTGAGCAGGTATCTTTGGCTAGCTATAAAAATATTATTTGCAAACAGTCATCAAAAAGATAATAGTTTCCAAGTGAAATATTTCCTATTATGCAAAAACAAAGCAGGCTTAAATCACAGGCTCTTTTGACTTTTTTGATAACCCCCTCCTCCCCCTATTAAAATATGAAAATGTTGGCCTCCAAAAGATAAGAAGAAAGGGAAAGAAGCCAAACAAATATTGGGAGGGCAAGAAAATAAATGCATTTTATTACCGGAGAATCTCTGGAGCTGCAGAGAGCTGTTCTAAGGGCAAGCATCAGCTACGTATTTGAAATTCAAGACTTAGCAACTTTGAAATGGAGGAGGAGAAGCCAGGAAAGGTTTGGAAATGGAGAAAAGGCTCAGGCTGACCTTCCAAGGACAGAATTGGATGGGAGTGGGAAGAAGGGAGGAGGAGGAGAAAGAAGAGGAAGAAGAAAAAGAGGAGGAAGAGGAGGAGGAGGTTTGGTTTGGTTTGGTTTTTTCACCTATCTTTTTTCTCCAAAAGTAAATCTGGGAAAGTTTAATGTATGGACAGTCTGGAATGTCTATTTAACAGAAAACCAAGGGTATAGAAATGTAATGAGACACAATTGGCAGAGAAAACTCAAGATGTGAACAGAACAGGTGTTTAGTCCCGCCCCCCCCCCATTTTCAGCATCTTTAAGCCCCTCTGGAGGGCATGTGAGAATCAGAGAAAAGATGCTTTTGAGGAAGCACAAAGTATTTTTATTCACTCTGCATAATAGCCAAGATCCAAAGCTCATTTCCCTACAATGAGATTTGTACACAACACCCCCCCCCCCGAAAAAAGCAATCTACAATAGGGACAGTATCATAACAAATCTTAGTCCTCATATAGGATAGCAGTAAAAACCATGAAGGATATCCTAGCAGGGAGCGTGTGAGCCAAAGCACTGGGCACTGAGGTCTCCCAAATTCAGAATCATATCCCATCTTAAAAAAAAAATAGCCAAGGTCTCTGTTCTCGGTACCTTCTCCCTTTTCCAGGCACCTGACTGTTCTTGGATTGTGATAGGAACTTGGAACCTTTTCACCTCAGAGGTGAGGTCACAAAAGCAAGTTTACTCTCACACACCCACACAGGCTAAGCAGTGATGCATAAACCCATTTCATCTTGGGCCTCCTTACCCATAATGGAGCACCTAGGAAATAGAGAAGACAGGGGTCAAATCTTGCTCATCAAGAGTGTAGCCAAGAGAGAAGAAAGTGCAGAAAGAGAGAAGAAGAACAGTGAGGCCTGCCAGGTCTGAGTAATAGGTACAATTTTGTGAAAAACGTATGTGTATGTGTGTGTACATGCACACAGATACAGCCCTTCCTTTCTCTCTTGTGAAATAAACCAATCTCACAGGAGATAAACAAAATCAAATTTTATTTTAAAAACATAAAATGTCCCTCTTTTTAACTTGAGGTGTTAAAAAAAGTAGTGGGAATGTGGGAAAAGATAATTATAAAGCTGTCCAGATCATGGTAATACAATGGGTTGCAAATTAGTTAAGAAAAAAACATCCAAAGGAAAATGTAATATTCCAAACAGACTGTAAAGTGGTTCTGGTCTGCTGCAAAGGAAGAGCTCAAAAAGAGGCTGGAGAGAGTCCAAATTATTATAAGAATTATAATCACCCTGTCTGAGTTCTCAGAACAACACATTAAACCCTAAATTAGAGAAGGGCATTGTTTATTCACACAGTGGGGAATACTCTAAAATGTATAATGAGCACAAGAGTGTCATCATGGTTTTCTTTGCCCCAGTCATGCTCAGCTCTTTGAGTGAGATTTGTTTAGGCCTGAAGTGGACCCCACCTTGGAAGTCTGGAAACCAGATTTTGTAATCTACTGAGCTTGCTGTAAAAGCACATCCTCACTTTTTTTAACCTCTGTTTGTTGAATAAGCCACAAATGCCAGGTTTTCACATTGCATTAAATCATAAACCAGAGTTTAAAGGGTTGGGTTTGAGACCAAATAAACCACATCTGGGCTTAGTGTTAAGCATAAAGAATAAGCCACAAATGCCAGGTTTTCACATTGCATTAAATCATAAACCAGAGTTTAAAGGGTTGGGTTTGAGACAAAATAAACCACATCTGGGCTTAGTGTTAAGCATAAAACCTGTTGGAGAAGCTTAGAGACAGATCAGTCGTGCTGGGCTGGGCCAAACAAACCGA